ACACACACACACACACAAACACACACACACATACACACACACGTATATATATCTCCACTTAAAATATAACCATTTAAAAATGTAAAACCATTGTTACTTTACCCACAGCCCAGAAAACAAGTGGTAAGCTGGATTTTTCCCACAGGCCTAGTTTGTCAAACTCGGTATTAGAGAGAGCAACATAGTAATGTGCCTTTTAGGTTCAATAGCATGGAAAACCTTGATAATTTACTGTAAAAAGATATATATATTTTTAAAATTTTATTGGGGAATAGCTATGGTCATTAGTTACACATTGCTTTCATGCTGCAATGGCATAGTTGACTCTTTTAGGGAGGGTGCAGCTCACAGTGGCCCCTGCGGGGATCGAACCGGCAACCTTGGTGTTATCAGCACCCCGCTCTAACCAACTCTATGTAATGCTCTAACCAACTAAGTTAACCGGTCACCCTAAACGTTTTTATGGAGTGTATGAGTTATGGCTTTATATTAAATTTTACTCAGGTGAGCAATGTTATAGTTAAGCGCCACAGTATTTTAATGTAAATATGTTTTCACATTTGTAAAAGTACTTCAAAATTCATCTTTATTAGTCTTTTCCTAGATTCCTGTTTATTAAGATAGTTATTTAAGTTTAACAATACAAACTTCACAAAATTGGTTGTTTTCCAAAAGTTTTTCAGTCAGTTGCCTGGAGCTCAGAGCACATAGAAATAATGCTTGAGATGATGACTAATTCCCAGGATATGTACTGGGTTTCCAAGGATGCCCCCAAGTTTGGTAATTTGCTAAAAGGACTCACAGATTCAACATCTCAACATACAGTTGTAATCATAGCTAAGATTTATTTCAGTGAGAGGATGTAAAGCAACATCCACAAAGGGCAAAAAGGCCTATGGGACCAAGTCCAGGGGAAACCAGGTGCAGCTCTTCTCTCAGGGGAGCCACACAGGACATGCTTAATTCTTCCGGTAATGAAATGTGAAAACATGCTTTTATCTACCAGGGGAGCTCATTAGGGACTCAGCAGCCAAGGTTTTTATTGGCTGGTCATATCCTTACACTCTGCCTAGCATATGTCAAAATTCCCGACTCTCAGAAGAAAAGCAGGTATTCAGCATAAGCAATATTCTTTGTACAAGTACAAAGTGAGTGAGCCATCCTAAACACTGAGGACAGGTTTTAAATCAGTGTAAGGAACTCTTTGCCTGCCAACTTCTCAGATGCCAGCAAAGGGCCAACCTTACAGGCAGGCCTTTCTAAGGAGAGCAGTCTCGGTCCTGCTATGTTAACTCTTTGCTGCACATAGGACAACCCATACACTCTGTTTAACCCATAATCTGATGGACACATAATACTATATTTATTATGTAATGCTGATAAAATTATTTCCATCATGTCTAATCATGTGTGACTTTATGTGATTTATAATTGGTTATGTAGTTCACATAAAGCTCTTAGAATAGACCTGGCACATAGCATGTACCAAATAATGTTAGGTAATAATTTACCTAATAAATGTTAGGTTTATTTTTTGAACTATTGTCACATCAAGAGTCTTAGTTCCAATCATTGTTCTCTTGCACATTGTATTAAGATAATGGCGGATGTCTTCTGGAGACTATCTTTATTTTCTGGTCCTATTGCTGTGGCTTTCAGGGAATGCCTCAGTTAATGGAATGGATCTATTCTTTGAAAGTTAACCCAAAAGGAAATTTCTATAAAATATAACCAGTTTTGCCATTTACTTATTTGAGAAATGCTCTTTTATGGTCTATATTTTCTCTTTTATGTTCGTGTCAGTCTGGCCAGTGAAAAGGAAAGATCCTAGACAGCTGATGTTCCTTGAGATCTACATCTCTGTTTATAGCAGAGTAGTGGAATACAGGTGATAGGTTTCAGAAGTTCCAAGTATGCATTCAAACACAATATGTTATTCCTTTCCTACGTTTAAAATTAAATGATATGGGCTGGCTGAGTGGCTCAGTTGGTTAAGAGTTCACTCAAGAGTTTGAGCTCTGATCAACAGCGGTTCGAGTCCAGCCCGAGCTGAGCAGCTGCTGAGCTGCCAACAGGTGGCAGGATGGCTCAGCTAAAAAAAAAAAAAAATTTTAATGATATGTTTTGACAGAGTAAAATGCTATATCACAGGGTTCATTCTTGTTTAAAGAAATAGAAGTTTTCAATAGTTTGCACCTAATAAAGATAAGCAGAATCAGCCACTGAACCTCTCCATCTTTTATTTTATAGGGAATTAGTGATGGTACTCCACTAATAAAGGCCATTGTCCCCAAAAATCAGTCTCGTTCTTTTATGTCTCAAGGCAGTCCTGAGTTACTGGTAAGTTCATTTACACCTTTTTCACATTGTTGTATATCCATTACCACTTAAAAAAAAATGAGAAAATAAAATTTAAAAAAAAATAATAGAGAAAATTTTTATAGAATTTGACCAAGTATAAAAATGTATCTTCTATTTACACAGCTTTTTTTTTAAAGTAATTTCTGTAATACTAGAGTTTATCTGGAATAATAAATGTGTGAAAATACCAGGAAATTTTATACAAGAAAAATAGGATATAACATCTTATTAGATATTAAAGTTTATCATAAAGCAGTAATAATAATGAAAATGAGAACTAACATAGAATTGATTAAGGTTTACATACAGGACATGTTATGAGTGCTTTACATGAATTTTGTCACTTAATCCGCCTAACAATCCTGTGAGATAGGCAGTGTTAAAATTTCCCTTCTACAGATGAGAAATTAAAACTCAAAAGTAACTTGCTCAATGTCACAGAGCTAGCAAATAAGCAATCTGGAACCCGGCAGGCACATGGGCCAAAACCTAGGTCTGTCTTATTCTAATTTTGTCATTTAGAAATTATAAAAATGAAATAAGTATAGCAGTGTAAACAGTAGAGGTTCCAAAATTAGATTTATTTTTCCTGTTATGCACATTGTGTGTTTACTCAGGAAAAAAGGTTGAGAAAAGATATAAAGATAATAATAGTATTTTTTGAGTGGTAGAATTCTTGTAATTTTTCAGATTTAATACCTGTATTTTTCAAGGTATCTGATTTTTCTTTTTGGTAATCTTTTACTTTTATAATCAAAGGGGGAAACACTTTTCATTTTTAAAAGAAAATATTCACTGTGACTGTCACTAAGAAGGGCAATCTTAACAATAAGTTCTGTTTCTGATTTAGTTCTAAATGATATAGATCATATTTATGTCGTAAGGCTTGACCGTTAATTACTTCTGACTGCCAATTAATAGATGCTAAATAAACTGAGAAGAAAATAATCATACTAAAGAAAGATGCATTGGACAACTTTTCTTACAATAACATAAACAAAGACCTTCTTCCATTTAAATTATTTTAGACTTTTTAAATGTGTTTCGTGTTTTAAGTATATAATCCTGCATTTTCCCCTAAATGCTGACATCATGTGAGTATTTGGTTATTCTGTGTTTCTTTCTTTAATCTTTCATTTAATTTTCATCTTCATGTTGTTTTCCAGGTAACAGTAAGCATGAATTATGTTATTGGAACACATGGATGGCTGCCTTATGACAGAAACATTTCTAATTACTTTACATTCATCAAGGATCAAACTGTGACAAATCCAAAGTAAGTAAATGAAGATTTAAAGCAAATCAGGTACAGGCAATACCTTATTGCCAGGAAAAACAACTAAATTGGTTGATAGGTTTCATTTTGAAAGTAATATTACAGGCATCCAGATTTTCTTTTCTCTCTCCTTCCCTCCTTCCATTTTTTTCTGTCATTCTTCCTTCCCTCCTTTCCTCCCTTTTTTCTCTCCTTACCTTCCCCTGACTTGATATTGGCTTCCAGACAAAATAATTACTATCATAACATTATGGAAGCAAAAATTATTATGCATAGCTTTCAGGCTTAATTGTATTTTTATTGTACAATATTATTTACAAATAAGACTCAATGTGTTTTATATAATAAGATATTGTTATTTACCTTATTATTTTTTAAATATCCAAAGGTTACATTTTAAGTTAAGGTGATGTTTCCCTTACTCTGAGTTGTTTTAGCTCTATGTTAGAGGTGATGTCTTTTCTTTTCATCTTATGTAGGACTTTGTACTATTGTGATTTGCACAAAGTATACCTTCAGCAAATTACCGTAATATTGAATAATAAAGATCTAGAGCTGAAGTCTTAGAATTGGCCCTAATTTTCCATACACAAACTGAAATATCACTTCTTTGTGTCTTTCTGCAGAATCTAGATTGGCCAAGTGCACAGATATTTCATTGGAAAGCAGATAAAACCCATATGCTTTCTTTGGTTGGAATGGAAAATTATCTTCTTGAGTACTGTTAGATACATATATGTCTGCCTGTGTAGTAGATCCCTTGTTTCAGTTTATTTCTGACTTTCTTGGTCCTAGTATAGCCTATCTTGAGTACATACTTTGAGGGTGTTCTTTACAGAATTTACAATCTTACTAAATTGGCTTTGAAAATCAAGATTTAAATTTTCACACCTTCACCAATTTCAACTACCTTATTCTTAACACTTAAGACTATTTGTTATATAAATTTTTATTTAATGAAAAATATGAACAAAGTAAGATTAATGTGTTTTTTGAAAGTCTTTATCATTTATTAGCATACATTTCAAACTGAACATTGAACAAACTTATTTTTTTTTTAGAGACATTTAAAAATAATTAAGTCTAAATGATCTTTTAATGAAAAGTCTAATATTGAATTGTGTTTACAGAACTCAGCGTAGTGTGAATGGTCCTTTTGCTCCAGGGCTGGAGATCACTTCTAAACTATTTATAGTATCACATGATGCGAAGTTACTTTTCAGTGCTGGACACTGGGATAATAGCATTCAAGTGATGTCACTTACAAAAGGCAAAATTATTTCACACAATATCAGACATATGGGTAAGCATTAACTTTTTTCCACCCCCCAAACCAAAAATTTCCCTTTTTTTTTATAATTATAAAAGCAGTACATACCCCTCATTAAAAAAAAAAAAATTAAATTTTACCTTTGAAGCTGAATGAACTTTTTGCTACAACAGTGTTATGACTATTACATGCTTTCCTTAAGAATGTTTAATATATTTTGGGTGTACTAAGCACCATGCAAATTAAATACAGCTTTATCATATCTGGAAGATGTTAAGCTAAGTCTTTTTAAAAATTGGCTGATAGAAATAAGAATTTTAACATAAAACGGTAAAAAAAAATCTGTCATAGTTGAATAAAACATCAACTTTTCTATTATTTTGTTAATAGTAAAACATGAAAAAGGTAAAATTGTTGAATGTAGTTTAATCTGGTACTCTTTAGTGTCTCAGTCTTCAATATAAGAATAAAACATTGAGTAAATTTTTTCCCAATAAATTAGTAGGAAAGGGAAATGGAGTCTGCTGCTCATTCTGTACCAGTGACTCCTGAGATATCACTTAGCTCAGGTTTTAACAGATTAGGAAAAATGTATTTTATATTGTTAATTTACAGTGTAATATCTACTATTGGGCCTTCGGAAAAGTCATGACGCATGTTTGCAACAGATGGTACTAGTTCATTTTTGGAAGTACTAGAGTCATTCACATCTGATGTTATTGCTGTGCCATTTGACAGCTGACAATTCTAGCTTCATTCTAAAAAAAATTGAGTGATTTTATTGAGTTTTGGAGATTTTACAACAAGTTGAAGATGGAAGACCAAACTGTGCATTTTTGCCGTATTTTACTGTTTTACTTCCATAAAGGAAAGAACGCGCGTCAAGCTTGTGAAAACTTGCATAAAGTTTACAGTAACAATGCTCTACAAGAACATCAGTGCCAACAATGGTTCACGAAATTCCATGCTGGTGATTTTGATCTCAACGATGCTCCTCTATTAGGGAGGCCCACTGAGGTTGATGATGACAAAATAAAGGCATTGATCGAGTCAAACCCATGTTACACAACACGAGAGATTGCAGAAACATTGAACATCCATCATTCAAGCATTCACGACCACCTGAAGAAGCTGGGATACATAAGCAAGCTCGATATTTGGATTCTGCATGAACTCTAAAGTTAATTTGACGGCATGTATAAACATCTACAATATGCTCATTAAACGTGAGGAAAACGATCCTTTTTTGAATTGACTGATAACTGGTAATGAGAAGCGGATTGTTGACAACAGTGTGGTGCGCAAACGGTCTTGGTCCCGACGTGATGGTTTGCCTCAAAACAACATTGAAAGATCGAAAGCGGGCATTCATCAGAGTAAGGTTATGTTCTCAGTGTGGTGGGATTTTAAAGGTGTCGTGTTTTTCGAGCTCCTACCAAGGAACCAAACAATCAATTCAAACATGTACTGTCAGCAGTTGGACAGCTTGAAAGAATCCATCATCCAGAAACATTCAGAGCTTGTTAATTGTAAAGGAATTGTGTTCCATCACGACAACGCGAGACCACACACAAGTTTGATCACCCGTCAAAAATTATTAGAGCTTGGATGGGATGTGTTGCCACATCCACCATACTCGCCTGACCTTGCGCCAGAGTGACTTGTGTCGCTCTCTTCAAAACTCCTTGTTTGGTATAACGTTCAATTCTGATGAGGCTGTAAATCAGCACCTTATTCAGTTTTTCGCAAATAAAAACAGGTCCTTCTATGAACGAGGAATTATGAAGCTCACTGAAAGATGGCAAAAGGTTATCGAACAAAACGGGCAATATATCATTGATTGATCTTTGTTCTTTATATAAATAAATGACCTTTGAAAAACATAGACAAAATACGTCATGACTTTCCTGACAACCCAATATTTTGGTTAAGATAAAAAAAACCCATTTTGTATAGGGTTGCAGGTCCCAGTGGCAGTAGAAGGTGAAGGGGGATGAGATAGCAGACAAGCATATCAGAATTTACTGTGGGTCTGCTGCAAGCTACCTGACCTCCTGCCAAAATTCTGACAGGTATTTTACAGCCCCATGTCTATTCTTCTCCCTCAAAGAAGGGTGGCCTCAAAGAAAGCTCTCCTACACCATTTTAATACTGCTTCTTTTGTGTCACTCTTTCCCATTGCTTTTCCAATGACAGTCCTAGATTTCTCCCAATTAGAACAACTGATTTAGTAATAGTTTGAACTCAAACTAAAATTGCCCTTTTCTGTTTCAGCAAAACCAAGATATTTTATTTAAAAAATTATTTTTTTCCTTACAGATATTGTGACTTGTTTAGCTACTGATTACTGTGGAATACATTTGATTTCTGGTTCCAGAGATACTACATGTATGATATGGCAAATAACACAACAGGTAGTTACACATTCAAATACTCTGTTTAATCAGAGATTCACCCTGGGAATACTGTTGAAATGTTCTAATAGAGTAGTATATTCTGGCGTTAAATGATTATTTGAGCTCCTTCGCATTCTTTTACCCCCATTCTGTCCTGTCCTAATCACATTTTTTTCCTAGGTTTATTGTCTGATTCATGACTTTATCCGCTATTAGCTTCCAAAAACAACTTCTTGTTAGCCTTTTCTAGGAAAACAATTATTTTTCTTGTCTTACTAACATAATATTATTCCTATTTTCCTTTCAGGTGGGAGTACTAGAAAATATAGATTTATAATTTTCATCAATCTTATTGTACTCATAATAATGTTGGCTCAAGGAAGTATCTTTTTTATTTATAGCTTCTGGATTTTCTACTTTGTTTAATATGCTTTTTCCCACTCCAAAGTTATAAAAATATTAACAAAAAATTCTTTTGTAATACTTTTCTTGTTTTATTTTTTTACATTTCAACTTTTAATACATTGGTAATAATTTTTCTGTTAAATAATATAGAATATATATTAGCTATAATATATGCACATATTCTATATTATAGAATATGTACAGAATACAGAATATATATTTTATAACAATATAAGGTATAAAAATACATGATTTTGTTTACTTCTGGGTGGAAAGTCACTTACACCAACCTAAGTCTTACCCACTGAATTGGATCTTTTATAGAGTCTCCAATTCTTTTACACTTACCTATTTCTATGTCAGCGCCAAAGTTTTTTTATTTTATTATTTTTTATTATTATTTTTTTAATTGGGGAATTGGGGAAGGGGAACAGCCAAGTTGTTGTCCTTTAATCTTAGTTGTGGAGGGCGCAGCTAGCTCAGCTCCAAGTCCAGTCGCTATCTGCCCACCCGTCGGCAGCTCGCAGCCGCTCAGCTCAGGCGCAGCTCACTGGCCCATGTGGAAATCAAACCGGCGACCTTTTTGCTCAGAGCTCGCGATCTTAACCTACTGAGCAACTTGGCCGGCCCACAGTGTTTTTATTTTAGTAGTTTAATATTACCTCATAAGGCAAATCCCCCTCACTGTGTTTCCTTTAAAAAAATATGTTCTCAGCTATTCTTAGAAGTATTTATTCTTCCATATAAACTTTAAAAATATTTTAATCATATCCTCCTTAAAAACCCTCCATTTTAGTCTTAATGTAATTGTATTCAATTTACATGTTAATTTGGTATGGATTTACATTTTTGTAATTATTTCTATCGAGAAATGGGAAATGCCTTACCATATTTGTTTTAGGTCTTTTTTTATGTCCTTTGATCAAATTTTTTGGTCATTTTTTTTCCATTTAGGTCCTGTACTTTGTTATATTTACTTCTAATAATTGTATTTTTATTACTATTTTGGCAGGATTTTAAAAATCATTTTTATTTCTAACTGATTATTGCTAATTTAAAAAGCTTTCGATTTCTATACTATTTTGTAACTAATCATTTTATAACTAATCATTTTACCAAATTCGCTTATCCAGCTGCCATAATTCTTAGTATTTCTTGGATTTTTCTGAAAATAAGGCGATATAAAAATAAAAGATTTTTTTCCTTTTCCACTATACTAATTATTTAATTTTGTTATCCTGTTACATTATTAGCTAATGCAATAAGGTAAGAAAATTATAGTGAGCATCCCTTATCTTATATCTTATCTGATTTTCATTAAAATGCTTTCACTACTGTGCCGCTTAGCACTGTTTGGTGTTGGGTTTCACTAGTTGTGTTTTTTAATATTTAAGTAGTTACCTTCCTTCTATTTTTTCTTTCGGTGACTTTTTAGTTTTAATAAAATTTCAATTTACAGAAAAGTTACAAAAATAGTATATTTATTGCCATTTGTCTTAGCATTTTATTCCAATCTCTATCTCCCAGCATCTTATTTTTCTTTTTCTGAACAATTTTAAAGTTGGAGACATCATGTTTCTTTACCACTAAACACTTCAGTGTGTATTTTCTAAGAACAAAGACATTCTTATACATAACTACAGTATAATTATCAAAATCAGAACACAACATTTATATAATACCATTATCTAATCCACATTCCATGTTCTAATTTTGTCAGTAGTACCAACAGTGTCCCAGTTTCTCTTCTTTTTTTAATTTATAGTTTTTCTCTTACTCTTTATTAATATACTCTATTATGTTGATAAGTGGCCTAGGCTTGATCTCTCCTTGAATTCTTGTCATAAACTCATATAATTCATGATGTATTGTTATATTTTACTGTAGGAGTTTATTTGCTGGCGCTTTAATTATTTTTGTACTTGTAAGTGCAATTCATTTTTGTTCTGTCTTTACCATGTTTATTATTGGGATATGCAACCTTTATAAAATGAATTTGAAAATGTTCATCTTTCTCTGTACTTCAGTTGCTTAAATAATATAGGAATGACCTGATTTTTAAAAATCAGGTTGAATGCATTATGCACTCAGAGACTCTTAGAGGAAGATGAATTATGTCCCAGGTAATAGAGTGTCAAGAGGAATTAATCCGCATAATATGGTGCAGATTAGAAGATCTGAACAGAGTTATCTAGGCTAATCATAACACAAATACCATGATAATTACTCAAACATTCTATATCATAGAAAGTAATATACAAACACAGCATGCCAAAAGGAGATGAAGAAAGAATCTTCTTTCTTCTGGAAGACGACAACTCAACTGCAGAGAGATTTCTGCAATAATATTATGCTATTAGAAGAACACAATAAGAATATCCATTCAATAAAATAGGACCTCAAAGATGAAATTATAAAATAGCATTTTTAGATGAAAAAGGGAGATTGCAGAAGAATCAAACAGGTATTAAAGCCAATACCATTACAAATATAATAAACCCAAAGCAGAAACAGCAAGAAACATGTGTCTGAAAATAAAACTATCAGCATAGGAAATAATTTTAACATAATAAAGTGAATACAAATGTAAAAACAAAAGAATTAAAGTAATTAGAAAAAGGATGATAGCTCTAGGAATCAGGCAAATCAGCATAAGAATAATTGATATCCCTGAAATAGGTACTATAATAAATTAAAAAGAGAAAGTATTCAGAAATATAATAAAAAAAGTTTCTTTGAAGTAAAGGAAGAATAAATCTGTAGATGAAAAGGGAAAATAATATACTTATTAAAATTAATCTAAAATAATCAATTTTGAAACTATTCAGATTAAGTTTTTGAACTACCAAAGATTGAGAATTCAAGGAGAAACAAGAATGAGTACTATTGTGAATAGACTCAGTGGTAAGAACTAGGTGCGATATTAGTTTGTAATTAGTTTAAATATAGCATAAACCTTTTTATAGAAAGTAGCCTACAAGAAAATTACCTTTGCTTTTTTGTTTTAATATTAGGGAGGTGTTCCTGTGGGTTTAGCATCTAAACCCTTTCAGATTTTGTACGGGCACACTGATGAGGTTATGAGTGTCGGCATCAGCACTGAGCTAGACATGGCCATATCAGGATCAAGGGTAAGATTAAACCTTTAGGAAATGCTAAATTTTTATATAAATTTAGAAGCAATATTTATAATTACAATACATTGATTTCTAGGGGACTTGATAAAAGTATAGACATTTTATACTATGTTTGTGTATGATTTTGCAAGAGTAGAATAATATAGAAAGAAAAAAAGAGACTGGATTCTATTTTAGAAAATTACTGGTCTTATTAGTTAAGGGAAGAGGGCATTTTATGAAATAAAATACAATTTGAAATTTCAAGATTGGAATTTTTCCTAAAATAAATGTGTCCTTGGAGGAATAATCATTTTCTCAGTCTCCCACATTTCTTTATCCACCCCACTTTCTTTTTTTTTTCTATTTTGTTATTCTTTGTCGTTTTCATTTTCTAATATTTTCTGTGTGTAGGATGGCACTGTGATTATACATACTATTCAGAAAGGTCAGTACATGAGGACTTTACGGCCACCTTGTGAGAGTTCTCTGCTTCTGACCATTCCCAATTTGGCTATATCTTGGGAAGGACATATTGTCATCTACTCTAGCACTGAAGAAAAGACCACCCTCAAGGTATCTTAACAGTTTCATACAGTAGGGCTCGACTATTGTAGAAGCTTGTCTTTTCCTTCCCACATTGTATATATGAGATGTTTGAAAAGGAAAGAACACCATATTTTTAAAAAAATGTTTTCCTTTCATCATTCAATTTGTTCATTCCTTACCATTACCTTACTTACCCTATCACAATCTTGTCCTCGTGTTTATATTTTGTTTTAGGGATTTCTATTGGCCTATGTAATATATGATTTCAAAAGTGGTTTCTGAATATGTGGGACTTCATAAACTTAAGTGGAAATTATAACCAAATTAAATTCTTTGTGCACAAGCCAGGATATAAGTAAACAAGCCATGAATTGTATGTATATTTTCCTTTAGGTGATAAAACTTGTTAAAAATTAAGGGAATCTGTTTTGTTTTTAAAACGTAGAGTTTTTTTGGGACTGGATGAGATTTTAATTCTTTTGGAGGAGTGAGAGTTCTTTAATATTCATTTACTTGGCAATCCGATTTGAAATCACTTTGTTATCTACACACTGTCTCTTTAAATATAGCCATATGTTTATTCCAATATTTTAAACCCAGTAATCATTCTATTATAGTCATAGTTTTAATTAACAATATTAAAACTCCATTTTAAGTTGAGATCATTAAATTTTCTTTGTCTAATATTTGCAGGATAAGAATGCATTGCATCTGTTTTCTGTAAATGGCAAGCATCTAGGGTCTCAAGTCCTGAAGGAACAAGTGTCAGATATATGTATAATTGGACAACATATTGTCATGGGCAGTTTACAAGGATTCCTGTCCATAAGAGATCTCCACAGGTAATTAATAATAATTATTGAAGTAGCACTTAAGAAAAGGTGGTAGTACTTTCAATCTAGAGTGGAAATCAGCAATCTAAGATTTCTAATCTTTTGGTTTATCATTAATTATGAATATATCTTTTGGCAACTATGAAAAAAATGGGGAAGCTGAAGTATTCCTGAATTAATAAATAAAATATACATGTACATTTTTTGAATTGTAGAAAATTGTATGCTATGTATATTTTAAATAATTTTACCACAATTTAAAAAAATTTTTCTAAATAGCCAGGAAGTGCCAAGTCTGGATTATGGTAATTTGTCCAATTATAGTTCGAATTTTTACAAACTAAAGTTAGGGTTTAAAAAAGTTTTTTTGTTTTTTTTTAAAGATTTTTATGGGGGAATTGGGGGATGGGAACAGCGCTGGGGAATTGGGGAAGGGGAATAGACAAGTTGCTGTTTTTTGTTCTTCAGTCTAGTCATGGAGGACATTGCCTCACTGGCCCAAGTTGGCACCATCACTGCTCCTCTGGGGCAAGGTAGAACAGTCCCCAGCCTCTGGACGGCCGCTCACTGCGGCTGCTGGCTGCTCACGCTGGCTGCTGGCCACACACGGCAGCCCTTGGCAACCCACTGCAGCAGTGGCCGCAGTCCACGCTGTCGCCAGCGACTCTCGGCAGCCCAGCTCCAGGTCGAGCCGCTGTTCAGCATCTCAGCTGCAGAGGGCAATGTCACTGGCCCTCACATGTAGGATCCGAAATGGGGTCCTCTGGCATCCCAAGCCAGCTCTTAACTAACGCGCCACTCGGCCGGCCCTAAAAAAGTTTTTTTTAATTGTGATAAAATGAACTTAAGTATTTTTAAGGCTAATGTATCTGTTCATGATTGAGTGTGTGTATATAAAATTGGTGGAGAGTCTTTTGTTATTTAACACAGTGAAGGAGAAGGATGTTGGGATAGTGGATATGTTTTATGTTTCCTACATGCCCAAATGCATTCTTTTTTTTCCCTTTGTAAAAGATTGATTGTGGCTTATTTATATACCCCTCAAACTATCTTGACCCCTCTCAAAATCCTTATAAATAATTTCCTGATCCAAGATGTTCTGTCTGACTGCATTCAATCAGAATCACTTCTGTACAAAGATGCCCTTCCTATTTTTGTATTTTCCTTCTCGTTTTTATCTTTCTCCTGTGGTAGAGCATTGAGTCCCTATCCTAGTCATATCGGTCCAATGTTTTGTTTTACAACGCTAATTTCAGGATATTGTAAAGAAAATCTCACATTAGAAAAATCAATGGGATATTTTAGCCGGTTAGTGTAGAACATATTGTGCATATCTTAGGACTCTTTATTCTCTAATTATAAAAGCTGTGGGCATTTTTCATAATGGGGTATTATAATTTATATCATATTATATTTTTAAATGTATATTATTTTATATATTTTACATTTATATATGTGTTTATACATTACATCTTTTTTTGATAAAGCATGATATTTTATTTTTTATTTTTATTAAATTTATTAGAGTGACAATGGTTAATAAAATTGTTTCAAGTGTACAATTCTATTATATATCATCTATATATTGCATTGTGTGTTCACCACTCAAAGTCAAATCTCTTTCTGTCACCATGTATTTGACCCCCTTTAACCTCTTCTACCTCCCATCTTCCCCTCCTTACCCTCTGGTAACCACTAAACTGTTTTCTGTGTCTCTCAGTTTTTTCTTGTTTGTCTTCTTTGTTGCTTTCAGTCTTATATCCCACATATCAGTGAAATCATGGTTCTCGACTTTTTCTGTCTGACGTTATTTCGCTTACCATGATAATCTCAAGATCTAACCATGTTATCACAAATGACAATATGTCATCTTTTCTTATGGCCGAGTAATATTCCATTGTAATATATCATATCTTCTTTATCCAATCATCTATAGAAGGGCACTTCGGTTGTTTCCATATCTTGGCCACTGTGAATGATGCTGCAGTGAACATAAGGGCACATATATCTTTACAGATAAATGTTTTTAGATTTGGGGGGTAGATACCCTAAAGAGGGAATGCTGGATCATATGTTAATTCTGTTCTTAATTTTTACTGAGAAATCTCCATTCTGTTTTCCATAGTGGCTGTACCAGTTTACATTCCTACCAGCAGTATATGAGGGTTCCTTTTTCTCCACAATCTCTTCAACATGTATTACTTGTCTTGTTGATAATAGCCATTTTAACAGGTATTAGGTGGTATCTCATTGTGGTTTTGATTAGCATTTCCCTAATAGCTAGTGAATCTGAGCATCTTTTCATATATCTGTTGGCAATTTGTATATCTTCTTGGGAGAAGTGTCTGCTCAGGTCCTCTGTCCATTTTTTGATTGGGTTGTTTTTTGTTGAGTTGTATGAGTTCTTTATATATTTCGGATATTAGCCCCTTATAAGACATGCTGTTTGCAAATATCTATCTTCTCCCATTCAGTTGTTTGCCTCTTTGTTTCACTGATGGTTTCTTTTGCTTTGTAGACGCTTTTCAGTGTAATATAGTCCCATTCATTTATTTTTGCTTTTACTTTCCTTGCCTTTGAGGTCTATTTCGTCAGATACAATTCTGGCTACACTCGCTTTTCTCTGGATGCCATTTGTGTGCAGTATTGTTTTCTCTGACCTTTCACTGAATCTGTATTTGTCCTTGCAGTTGAGATGTATCTCTTGAAGGTAGCATATGGTTGGATTTTGTTTTTTGATCTAGTCTGCTACTTTGTGCCTTTTTATTGGTGAATTCAATCAATTTACATTTAGGGTGATTATTGATACATGAGGATTTCCTGTAGCCATTTTATTTTTGTTTTCTGGTAGCTTGGTGTTTCCATTGTTTCTTTGCCCTTGTGTTTCTGTCTGTTATTTTAGTTTGGTGGTATTCTATGACTTTTTTCTTCTGTTTCCTCTTTTTCTTTATATTGTGTGTCTCAGTTGTGGATTTTTGTGTGTGTGGTTACCATTAAGTTTATGTAGAAGAAAGTTTCATATATACAGTAGTCCTTTTTCTTCTGCATGCACCTTATCTCCATTCCCCTTTGCAAATTTATACCTTTGCCCCCTCTCCTTTATATTTTTTCTTGTCACAAATTATTCCTATTTATGCTGTGATTTCATTCCCAAGTTGCGATAGCTATTCTATTTTTCTCTTTTATGTTTTTTACCTCCTTTAATCTTTATATTAAGTGTATAGTGCCAAATTCTGAATAAGGGTTGTAATGTCCTGCTTCTGTTTGTCTGTTGGTCATCTTATAATTTTGTATCCTTTTGCTTATTTCAGATAGAATAATCCCCATCAGTATTTATTGTAATTCAGGCCTTTTTGTGGAAAATTCCATCATCCTTGTATGTCTGGAAAGGTCTTTATTACTCCTTCATATCTAAAGGATAACTTTGCTGGATATATTATTCTTGGCTGGCAATTTCTCTCTTTCAAAATTTCAATATTTGATTCCACTTCCTTCTGGCTAGAGTTTTTGCTGAAAAATCTGATGATAATCTGATGGGCTGTCTTTTATAGGTTACCACCATCTTTTCTCTGGCTGCCTTGAGAATTTTTTTTTGTCATTAATTTTTGACAGTTTTAATGTAATGTACCTTGGAGAAGGCCTTTTTAGATTGAGTTAACTGGGTGTTTTGTTTGCTTCTTGGATTCAAATATCCAGTTCTTTCCATAGGTTTGGGAAGTTCTCAACAATTATTTGTTTGAATAGGCTCTGTTTCCTTCCCTCTCTCTTTTTTCTGGTATACCAATTATTCTTATATTGCTGTTTCTCATGGAGTCACATAGTTCTTGTAGAGTTCTTTCATTTCATTTACCTCTCAAATCTCTCTCTTCTACCTGCATCATTTCCAGATTTCTATCTTCAATATCACTAATTCTTTCCTCCTATCTGGTGGGCTCTATTTCCTAAGCTCACTGTTTCATTCTTCTTCTCTTGTTTTGAGTTTTTCAGCTCCAGAATTTCTATTTGGTTCTTTTTTAAAGTTTCAATTTCTTTAGTAAAATATTCATTTTGTTCTTTGATTTTATTTCTGAGCTCATTAAATTGCCTGTTTTCTTGCATTTCATTGAATTTTTTCAGAACTGCAATCTTGAATTCTCTGTCATTTAAGGAACTTATTTTCATGTCTTTAAGTTTATTGTCTGGAGATTTTTCATATTTTTTTTTCTTTCTGAGTTGCCTTGTTACCTGGTTGTTCATGGTATTTGATGGATTCTCTCCCTGCCTAGGCATTTATGGGAGTGAACTCAGAAGCAGGTTGATAAGAAGAGGTCCATTTTTGTTTTCCAGTGGGTGGTATTGGAGCGTTTTATTTTTTCTTGTAGTGCTCCAGCTTCTGGGATCTCGTCAGGTGTTTTGATGTGCATATCTCTCATTTGTGTTTGTCTCTTGTGCAGGGAATCCTTTGTTGCATTGTAGCTGTTGAAGTTGTAACTTCAAGGGGAGAAATCAAGGGGACTTCTCACGCCACCATGCTTCTGACATCATTCCCAAATTACATCTTTTAAGACAAAGCAAATAGACCAATTTTGTTGACCTTACTCCTCCACACATGCACACTCTTTTTAATCTTTTGCCCTTTTTATCCAACTTTCACTTATTAATCAATAGAAAAAACATTTAGTGAAAGTTCATATATATGGCTAGAAGAAAAACATGTTGAAAATAGAGAAAAGATCTGTTAAGTGTTTTAAGTAATGCTATAAATGTGCCTCTTGTGTGAGGCACTCAGATTTTCTGAACATAAATCCCACACCTGTAAAATTAGAATGCAGAGCTAGATTATCTTTAAGTTAACTTCCAGGTATAAAATTATATGAATCTATTATATAGCCATGTAATTATGTGTGTGTTTTTATTTCTCTTCTAGTTTGAATCTCAGCGTCAGCCCATTAATTATGCGATTGCCTATCCACTGTGTTTGTGTAACCAAAGAATACAGCCATATTCTTGTTGGATTAGAAGATGGCAAATTGATTGTAGTGGGTGTTGGCAAGCCAGCTGAGGTAAAACCTAGTCAAAAATTTCACTTCTCATACTGTGTGGGTTTCCTTTGGGTCTCCTTCATTCCGTTTGAATCAGAATTATCTATTATGGATAAGCAAATTAGAAAACAAATTTAACTTTTCAAAGGGCAATAAATAAAAAGGGATTAAAGTTAGTATTTAGGAGTGATATTTATATTATGATATAATTGAAAGCACACATTTGGCAGTTTCCATGTTTCACTTTATATGAATAAGAAAGCTTTTTTATTCTCTGTCTTTCTAAGTCTAGACTCAAGACCACATCTTTAATTTTTAGTACAAAAAAGCCTTTATAAGAAATGAAATATAGACTCAAACAATAAAACTACTTTATTTTTTTTCATATTAGTTTTATTTATAATAGTCTCAAATTGGAAATAATTCAGATGTCTGTCAACAGGGAAATAAATTTGGCATAATTGTACAATGGAATATTTCCCAGCAATAAAAGGAGCAAACTATTGAAACATGTAACAACATAAATTTAACATTAGTATGCCAAGTAAAAGAAGGCAGACATAAAAGAGCACATACTGAATGATTCCATTTATATGAAGTTCAAGAACATGCAAAACTCATGTGTATAAAACTACTTACTTTAATTTCAATGAATACCCGGCATGACTATATGTCAGTTATCCTTTTTTAAAAGCACCATTTTTTACTTGGAACTACACATATCTCCATATAATGTGTTAATTCTCAATGAATTTCCTATGGTCACTAAATTTATTTGCCAGTAGTTTATCAGTTACTGAATATGCGCATACCATAAGTCTAACACTGTTCTTAAGAAAACGTAGTGAAGTAATTTTGTGATTCTTCTAGAAAATGTATTGTTAAATAGCATGAAATTAAACATAAATTTTTATTGGTATCACTGGTCTTTTCTGAGAAATCTAAAATATGACATCTGTAGCAGTCATTTCAAGAGAAGACATTACTGAATAGTAGTACACTGTCAGTGATTAGAATGAATGTCACAGATCATAGGAACCTTTTTGTTTCATAAATATTTTAAGATTTCATTAGTCATCCCTTTTTTTCAGGATATTATTTAAACAAAAGACAGGTCTTATTAAATTAAAATGATTGCAACACTATTAAGTTTCACATGTAACAGTCCCCCAGGGGCAGCAAGTCTTTTTCTTAGTATTTCACTTATATTTAAAACATTTTAAACATTTTTCTATTCTACAGTCAGAGAGTTTCTTGATTAATAAATTTCCCAAATAAATAGTGCCCTCTTGTCCTCTGCTAATGAGATTACTGAAGAACTCACCTCAGACTTGACTCTTTGAGTATGCTTCATTTTCTGTGGTTTACTCAAGTGCCTTTTTTTTTTTTTAAGATTTTTATTGGGGAATTGGGGGATGGGAACAGTGCTGGGAATTGGGGGTAGGGGATCAGACAAGTTGCTGTTGTTTTGTTCTTCAGTCTAGTTGTGGAGGACGTTGCTTCACTGGCCCAAGTTGGCACCATCATTGCGCTCTTCCCGGGCGAGGCAGATCAGTCTCCGGCTTCTGGACGGCCGCTCACGGCGGCTTGAGGGCCAGTCACGCTGGCTGCTCTACACATGGTAGCCCATGGCAACCCACTGCAGCAGGGGCTGCAGCCTATGCTGTCGCTGGTGACTCACAGCAACCCAGCTCCAGGTTGAGCCGTTGTTCAACATCTTAGCTGTAGAGGGCAGTGTCACTGGCCCTCATATGTGGGATCTGAACCAGAGCCCTCTGGTGTCCCAAGCCAGCTCTTAACCAATGCACAACTTGGCCGGCCCTCAAGTGCCTTTTAAACTTGCCTGCCCTGCCCTCACTTTGAGTAATTTGTCAGTTTCTGATTTACTGAATTTTTAAAAATGAAATGACCATATGTGGACAGATTTTCTTTTAAAAATTGATTGGAAAAAAACATGTAGGCAGCTTCATTTCATAGGCCTCAATCAATGTTATGTTATTTTTACCCAATAAGTTTTTTGTTGTCATTGAAAGATTTATGTAGTCTACAACACATAGAATCTGAATTGGGTGTAGATTTTAAATGAAAGCAGTTTTTCAAATTTATTTTATATCTTTGGATGTATCAGCTGAATTATGGACCTACTTTAGTAAATCTAATTGAATACTTAGAGTCTTGCATAATTAAAATATAATTCTATACGGCAGTGTAGAAATTAAACATCAATTGTTAGGAAAATATTTCTATTTCAAGAGCTATATTTATATAAAAGATCAAAATCTTGATTAATGTGTATTATAAAAACATGTATCAGTATAAAACTGTACCAGTATACTGTCAGTATGTAATTCGTATTTATAAATCAGATGATAAAGTGATAATAGATTAATGGAAATATGTTTCTGGAAATTAAAATGCAAACTTAGCATGCCACAGTGTCTTTTTTAAGAGGCTTGTCTTATCACTCCAATAAATGTACCTAGAAAAGTAACTATTAAAAATGAGTGCCAGACAAATCATCATTTAAAAGTAGATTGCACTTGGGAAAGTAATTCCAACAAATCATATGGTTAGATTGAGAACTGCTTCCCCCATGGGATTTCTTTTTCCCTACCTCAAAGTGGAAGCATTTTTAGAGGGGTATTACTCACTGGTTGAATTAATATTTAATTAAGAATTGTTATATGCTGAGAAATGTGTTAGGTGGTACAAATTTAATGGTAGACAAAATGATATTCTTACCTTCAAAGAGCTTATACTATTCTTGTTTTCTAAATTACTTTTTATCATTCTATTGTTAAATATTATTTTTTGAAATTTTTATATTAAATATTTAAAAATTAATTTATTTTCATCCAAACATTATTTTACTTCTTATCCTTGTGATTGGCATTAATAGTATTGCATACAGGAGGAGAAAATCTGCAAACCTATGTGATGGCTTAGCTGGATCAAACATAATTTGAAAAGATTATTTTAATGAAGTGAAATATATTTGTTTTAATATATAAAGTAAGAGAGTCTAGTAATTTTGAAATACCTGGGACATTTAATTTAAAAAGTTACACATTGGCATTAGACCATTCTCAACTGAAAGACAATGTAGAAAAAAGCCTTTCTTTAATTTTTATTAATCAAGAATCATCAAAATGTTAATGATTCTGCTAATAAAACTATTGTTTGCATTCACAAAATTAATGTCTATCAATTTCATTTATTCCTTTTTTTTCCTTTCTTTTATTTTAAACAGATGCGTTCAGGTCAGCTTTCTCGAAAATTATGGGGATCTAGCAAACGACTCAACCAGATTTCATCTGGAGAAACTGAATATAATACTCAAGATTCCAAGTGATTGTTATTTCCATCTTTTGTCATAGGTAACTGAAACTTGATTTTTTACTTTGTCACTGTAACCACATCTCTCAACTATCTGAAATATTTCAGGGCTTTTATCTCTGAAAATCACTTTGGATTACCAAAATTTGATAGGATATGTGTATAAGGATGTAAGTTGTATTATTATTCACTTTAAAAATTTCTGGCTAACATTATTGAATCCAATCTTATTAACTAATTCTTGGCCTAACTAAGATGGATTTGAGAAAATGCATTTAATTAGATTTAGTGGTCTGTTCCTAATGACATTAGACCCATTTTTAAAAACAAACTTCTGAAAATGAAGAAGTTAGATTTAATATGCTTATTATTCTAAACAGCAATATTTAAGGTATTTCTAATAAAAGTACAAATAATAAGACAGTTGAGAGACATGGCTTTTAATACATTCTTTAGTTAATCATTTTCCTATGTACTGACCACCATATTAAAAAATACATCAATTTATTTGTGGAACTCCGATTGGAGGAAATATTTTAGAGGTATCTGTTGCATACTTGGATTTTCAAAACTCAATATAAAGTCCAAGTTTTCATAAGTTGAAAATAAGACTATTAAAACTGACACATCGTTTCATTCCACTACTACTTAGCACATTACTAATGAGAATTTATTGAAATGTATTATTATTCTTAAATAATAAAGGTTGAGTAGGAATAAAAGAAGGTAGAGATACATTTTGCAGATGTATTTTATTAGTAGTACAATTAAGGAAAAATGCTAATTATGATTTTGACAGCTGAGTTCTTTAAGTAGCATTTACAGCACAATTTATATCTGCAACATTCGAAATTTCTTGACTTTTTCTTTACTAAGCAAATACTATGTTTTCCCCAGGTAATTAGAAGACTTAGCAATGATATCCAAATATATTAGGATTTTATGTAGGACTTCCATGTGATTGATGAGTGAATTGAAAAGATATGTGTAACTCAAACTAGTCATTTAGATATAGTAATTTTTCAAAATAACACATTTCTATTTCATGTTATGTATAACTTTTAGAATTGCAATTTTATTATACATATAGCTAAATGTTACATTATAGTTTACTATTCAAGATTTTACAGTAAAATGCTGGTAGATTTATTTTGGAATTCAAAAGATTGTTAAACCTAGTGCTTTTTGTGGTCATCTTTTGAGTTAGGTCCTTAATCTGAGATTCCTTGGGCTTGGGGGAATTTATGAATCTCCTGAAACTGTGTGAAAATTTTGTGTGTTAACTGCATTTTTTTCAGGAATTAATTGTTGCATGACTTTCTTAAAGGGGTCTGTGATCAGAAGAAAAAAAAAGACTTTTCACACTAATAACTTCTTAAAATAATATTTTCTTTTTCATTCCACAAACGATAGATTTCCTTACATCCAATTATCATCTCAATTGAATCTTTGAGAAATTTTTGCTTTGCAATATTTCTCTCCTTGTTGCTTACAGTAGCTAGTACCCTTTTCTTTATAACCCTCCGAGTGAGTAAAAAATTTTATAACAAGTAAAGGATTCTGTTTAGGGAAGCTTTTTGAATAGATTTGTTCTATGTGAGTCAGGACTAATAAAAGGTTACTCTAGCAGAAGTTTCATCCCGATTGTTTAGCACAAGTAGGGGGAAGCTTGTTCACAATACAGTAGATATCCTACCTAGACTAGCAGTAGATATTCAGAGCAATGGAATTACACCTTATATTAGTTTGTCCAAAAAGTAAAAACCAAAAATGTAGAACTTTGAGGAAAATCTTTGAGAATACTAGCAACAGTCTAGAGGAATAGGCTAGTAGAACCATTGGCCGAATAATATATTCCTCATTTAAACAGTTTAGCCCACTGAATTAAAAATCACTAGATAAAATCAGTGGAAAGATATACTTGGGGGGAGTCTGGTATATTTAGATGTTATCCATAGAAATTATTTCTGTATTGTATAATGGGAGATATTAACATCATTAGAATGGAATAACAGGTGAACATTGGAATTAATGACTATAATATCTCAACTTGGCTATTATAAAGTCTTGTCTTTGCAGAACTTTTCATCTGCTTTTGTTTCTTAACACTGGTGATGATGGAAGTAAAAATCTCAGCATCCTGGTGATGAGAGATTTATGCGAAGATGATGATTTTACTTTTTAGAGAGTGAGGTTAAGTATGTATACGTAATGGTTGCACTCACTTAGAGACTAAAGAAGCTTTATAAGGCTTTTTTCAACTCTCCCCAATCAGTATTCTGTCATTACTTAGATAAAATTGGAGAAGATAAAATATATCATTGCATGAAAATTAGGAAAGTATATGAAAATGAAATTTGGCCAGTTGGTTTAAAATCTTTTAAGCTTGTGAAATTCATGTCAGCTATGAATAAGTTTCTATCAGTTTTCTTTAAGTCATAATGCTATTTTTAGGTTACACCCTTTTGTAGGAGAGAAAATGCCAAGTATTCATTTGTCATTAGCAAGGAATATCCATGAGACTTATTATTTTTTTTTCAATGTAAGGCATATAAAAATTATTCTTAAAGAACTGATGTTGAAAATCAGTTTTACGCTTCTGAAGGAATAAGTGTGCCCTCATATTTAATTAGAATTTAGATTTGAAATTTGAATTTTAATTTAAGATTTTTTATATTTTTCTTGAATAGGAATAGGCAGATAAATTTGTGAACTTGAATACCATATATTTCTTTAATGATAGACTCATGGCCTTCACATTTAAGTATATTTTATATTGTTACTACCAAAGAAATCACTAATGGAAAATTTTTAATTGAATTTGAAAAAGTTAGCTCCTTTTATATATTTATATTTATAAAATGAGTAGCATTGTCTTTATCACCTTTCCAAAGGAAAGATGCAAGTGCATGGACTATATTAAATAAAAATATCTTATAGTATGTAATATCATGGGGGCTGTGTGTGTGAAGGTTGATCTCTTCAACTATGTCACTGAACTTGTCTTCCATAAATAAGTTCTTAAACCTGTTTTTAGGATATAGTTTTTTACTGATTTAAGAGATGAAGTATGTTTTGTTTTGTTTTTCTAAATCTAACCTGTTGTTTTTCTTCATTAGCCAGACACATAGTTTGTCCCAATTACAGTTTCTCTCGACTGAAACTGTTCTTTCCCACTGACCAGTCTTAAATATTTTTATCACTCTCAACAAATATCTATTCTCAATATTCTTTTTACCTAATTCATTTCTTTATATACTTGACATTTGATTTGTTTTAAACTTGACCCCATGGAGAACATGTTTCTGGAGAGTTTTCCTGCATCAAGAGTCCTCATGGTGCTTTTTCTGATGACATTAGGCATCAGCAGTATATTGTTATCAGTCATAATTTCAATATTACTAAAATGCTGGCCACAACCTTACTTCTTTAATTTGAATCTAGCATTTTTTAGGCCAGTGTTTCTTAACTAAGATTGCAGATCAGACTTGTCCATGAAGCTTCATAAATATACAGAAGTTCCAGGCACTACTCTGGACTTTCTGAATCTCTTTACTTGATTGATATTCTTAGTATAAAATAAGTATGTCTCAGGATTATTATATTAAATCTTAAAATATTTTACTCTATAGAAATTAAATCCATTCATTTTTATAAATCAGATCTAATAATCACAGGCTTATTTGAAAATAGTTTTTAATCATTATCTTTGGAAATATTTTATCGAAAGTTTGGAATGCCCTCTTATCTTTGTATCGCACGCAATAGAAACAACCAAATTTCTTTTTGCATTATTATCACAAACCCTCTTCAGACCTTTCATGTTTGAAAATTGTAACTAATAGTTACCTTCAAAAAAGTGTTTGCTTTTATTAGTTCCTAGTGACTATCAGTGAATATTTGCGTATTTGAATTAGGTAACATTTTAAAGCATTAATAATAAGTATGAGTAACAAAATGCTATATTTGAAAAATAGAATTATATCTCTTGTAACCTTGAAGCTAGTAATCAATAGAATTTTTCTAATTAGAGGCATTGGATAAATTCCTTCCACTGCTAATGACTTTTCTAGGTATAGCCTCTGTATGGAAATAATCTTTAATTTTTCATACAAAAAGTCCTAGTATTATAGAAAATAAAGCATTAACATTTAAGATATTTAGGCCTGTATCAGAAACGATTCAATTTTCTACATTAAAAATATTAGTCCATCCCAGGTTATAGCAGATACGTGATTTTCTTCAGTATAAGAAACTTGTGTAAAAGTGGCCATATTATTAGATACTTTTCTGGCAGATTGCAGTAATTTTTCAGACGCATCTTCTTAGATTATCTCCCTGACAATTACCACATGTAGGTGTTTTCTGAACACATTGCAGGATTTGGACCTATGAAGCTAATGGCGTTAGTCAAAAATGAGATGTAACCGTATTTACTTTTATCTTAATGTCTACAATCTTATGAACTAAAAATTCAAAGGAAAATAACAAGTAGAGAGTCACTAATTCAACATTTGTTTTCCATGGTATAGTTTTAATATGTTTCCTTGGAAACATTTTGCAAATATTATCATAATAATAATAATAATAGCAGTTTCGTCACTGAAAGAATTACCCATTCAGTTTTCAAGCTGACTCTTAGTGGAGTTTTGGGTGTGTGTGTGTGTGTGTGTGTGTGTGTGTGTGTGTGTTTTCACTTATAATATGGCTGTCTCGTAATTTAGAATTTATAACTTTTTGAGTGTACAAAGTGATTAGCTATTTATAATACTGTTACAATGTAGTGTTGTAACTTGAGATTCAGAAAAAAAATTAGGAATTAGGTGAGATTGGAAAATAAAATTATATTTTATTGGTTAAAATATAAACTTTAAAAAAGAAGTCTTATTCCAATTGGACCTTTTAAAATTTTATTTTGGTAATAATATATTTCAACATGTATTAAAACTAGAGGTTTTCTGGTAGCCAGTGAACTAAGTAGTTAATGATAAATGCTATTTTTGATGTTCCTTCTCTTGGAAACTTTTCCCCAAGTTTTATAAGCAATGTGGTTTCAGATTTAGTGGGCATAACCTACAAATTCAACAAATACTACTCCTGCATTTTGAAGGAAAAGAAACTTATCTGTGGTAGACATATTATTTTGCTCCTCAGAGTGCTAAAATTATATTAATAAACACTTTAGATGGTGGTTCTGGTAAGGAGATATCAGTTGTCAGACTTAATGGAAAAGAATTTCAACCTCTTAATTTCTTCCATAGGGATTGAAGAGAATAATTTTATTATTTCCTTTGGGATTTTGATTGCATTTCATAGATAACCTTTAAATTATTTAATTATAATAGTTTCTATATTTCTTCCAAAATTATGACATAGTACAGTAGATCTTACTGTTAAAAATCTTGTACAATTTAGACATTTTTCTTATTGTTTTTTACTGCTTTCTGTTATTCAAAAGTACCATAACTAAATTTTTTTTGTGACTACTGTTTATTTTAGTTAGCTTTACAAAGGAAAAATTGTTAGAAAACCATATGGCTGGTCTGTTCTCTTCAGAAACTCCTAACAGGTATGGCTTTTCTCCCCCCAACTATTATGCTTTTAAAGACTTGGAAAAAAAAATTGCAAAAATTAATCAGAGATCTAGCCAGACAGTCATTTTCTATCAGACGCATTGCTATAGAAGTAAATCCATTAAGACAGAAAAATATCAAACAAACAATTTGTCTTTTATGTCAGTTTTTGTGGTACCCAGATTATATAGGAGCATTTCAGTGTTAACACAGAGGGTAATAGTGACATGGATGCATGTGTGTATGTGTGTGTGTGTATGTGTATGTATGTTTATATATATATATATATATATTTGCACATAGTCAATTCAGAGGATAGCTGAAAATTCGTAATTACGTATTAAAAAAATTGCAAATTGTGCTGCTACTTAAATATTTAATTCAAAAAGTTATGTAGTTATCATAAATGTTCCTTCTCATTTTTCCTATTGGAACTGACCGTGAAAAAGAATATTAAGCCTTATTTATATCTAATTATTGACTGTGCAGAACTGACTCAGTGAATATTTGTATGCCAAAAAAAAAGGGTTTTAAAGTTGAGAAAGTTTTAGACTCAATAAACATATGTAAATAATTTTGATTGGTATTCTCATTATAATGAAGTTACTGTTAATTTGGTGCAATACATTCTTCCCTTCCTCATCTTTTTAAAATTAAACGTATAAGTTGTATGTTTTGTTTTGTGACATTGAGTGCTATTTTAAAATTTTTCCAATGTGTGTATATGCGTTAATGTTTGATTAATTTCTGTATAGCATGATTGAAGATAATAATGGAAAATTTTGCACTTTTTTTAGTCCTTTGGAAATTTGTATCCTAATAGTTTTTAAGAATGTACATTTATTTTGTACATAATAAATTAGCTTTGTATATGGAAATGGGTTTGAAATAAATTTTTAAAATGTTACTTTCTTTAACTAATTTGTAATTCTCAATTCATAGATTCTGATTATATCTTGACCTTGGCTAAGTTATTGAGTAGGCAAAGAATTAAATACAATATTTGTTAAGCAGCAAATTGATCACTGCTTCTTTCTCATATCAGCAGAATTTTTTCTGTATTCCTATGTGCATAAGGTAAATGTTATGTTAATTGACCAGCTTTTGTCATATGTAATGACAGATATTAAGCCTTTCATTTTAAAGCCACCTCAGAAACATGATTACACTTTTTCCCTAGGAAATGACCATAAGCCAGAAATCTCCATTTGTAGTTAAACAATGCATTAGGTCAGGGTTTTTTTTTAACTTTTATTTCCTTTCATAATTAAAATATTTTATTCATCAACTTTTGACAGTCTAAATGATGACCTAATTCTTCTGTTTTTGTTAAGGTTTATAGAACTTAATCCATACTAAGACAGAACCCAAGCTTTTGTTCAGGTTCTTGCTAATACTTTTGTCTTCAAATCCGGAATAACAGGACAACAGTAATGAACATTAACTTTTTTCTAGCCTAGCCCCACATAAGCACTATTCTACACTTTAATTAAAGATACTTCACTAGAATTGGAAACTTCGTGCATTAATTGATGGGGTGAAATTGCTCAGGCACAGGATAATCCAAGCCAAGTGAGTTTCAGGCTTAATTAAGACTGTCTTGCTTTTGTGAAACAAGTCTAGTACCATACCAACCATTATATAAATGTAAATTTGTTTTACACAATAACTGGAGATTAAATTTTTTCACCATGTATCATTCATTTAGTGAGAATCTGAGATTAAACATTTTTTTAAAACTTTTTGTGAATTTGTTTTACTAATTTTTAACTTTTCATTACCGAACTTAGAATGACTTAGCCCGTCTATTCAATTCTTCTAAAACTCTTTACCTACATAGTGTTTGGTGTATTTTCTAAAGTTGTATCCATTTAATTGTAACTTTGCAGAGATTGAAAGAGTTAGGGGAAGACTATGGAAAAATTGTGAATTTGCATTATTCATTCTAGTGATACAAAATTCTTTTTGAAAGTAGCTGCCTTCTTACATTATTCAACTTCAACTTACAGCCCAAATCCTTTAATAAATCATGGGTTTTCAGAAGAAAATAGTGTGCAAGTCGTTCAGATGCGTCTGATAAGATGATTAAAGAGAAGGTGAAGATGAATTTAATTCAGTCTAGAACAATAATACTTTCAGAATCCTATTTAAGTATCTTTTGTCAGAATACTTTCAAGAAACATCACAGAGGCATTTACAAATGGGAAAACACATGAGAACTTGCT